AGAAACTTTTATCCAAACTTTAAAAATACGGAATGCCATTTCTTATCACAAGCAATTCAGATAAGTGTGCTGGGTAACTGAGTCCGCTGTCTAAAGTTTACTACAGATCGACTGTACATTTACAGAGGGCGACCGTCATCTTGTCTGAGGTGCGGTATTTTTTTAACCTCTGCATCATTTCGGGAAGCTCCATAATAATGACTTCAAATTCTTCTCACTTCCTCCTATGCCTACTGGCTACATGTTTAGCCAGTAGAAATGATAAGATAAAAATAATGACAGGTGTAAGGCTAATGAGATCATCAGGAGCGTGGCGGATAGTGATGTGTATGTGCCATACGTACATGTTGTTTCATGCCTATTTACTGACTGGCGATCATTATATCTTTTTTTAAAATGTGACCATTCCAAATGTTACCTTGCAGGCGATGTTAGCACTCTTCTTACTATGCACTTTCAGAGGTTATTAGGCATCAAAAATGATATCTGTAATGTTGACATCTAGAAACGTAAATAACTTGTACGAGCGGCAAGGGGTAGATACATGTATATAACGGCAATTACAACGTGCAATTAATATAAACCCAGGAAATTTACAACAGCACAGTGCAAGAACATAACCCGCTCGCAACAACATGGATAAGACCGACCACGCATAATTTAGAAACAGAGTGAGGACGGAGGATATATATATATATATAGCGATCTCTTTCATCAATGTTCGCGACCCTGTTTGACCTCGCTATAAATATCGATATCAAAAGTCATTTAAGAATACCAATAACATAACCTCGTGAAATTGGGGAGAGATATTGAAAAATATTAAAGTCAACCAAGAATCTTACAGATCGAGTAACCTGTTATTTCCTGGCTTGGGGAGTGCGACGGTGCGTAATTAATGATATTTTACTTGCTTACATCTTCAGAAGCGGCTGATGTAAGAAAAAATGCTGTTCTTTGAATCTATTTTAAGTGAATTCAATGAAAGCTACTGATGTTTTCTTCTCAAAATCGACAAAATAAGTAAATACAAAAGGATAAAACCAATCTACCCTAAATCTCTTTACATGGTATTCCCTCGCAAACTTTTGGCCTACTTTTCAATAGCTTGCACACTACTGCAGGCGAAGTCAAGGACGGCTTGTTTGAATGGTTGAATGGGGGGGGGGGGGGGGGGTTTGATGTCCAATTTGAAGGGGTTAAGTGCCCCGCTATCTAGTACGCGTTAAATTCCAGCCTTGTCCTGGAGATCGGGGTGGATGGGTGGACGTGGGGGAAGGGGGATTTCAATTGGCTAGCATATGTGTGTGTGTGTGTGTGTGTGTGTGTGTGTGTGTGTGTGTGCGAGCGCGTGCGTGCACGCGCACGCGCGCGCGTGTGTGTGAGCTCTTGCAAGGGTGGGGATGGGGCAGTGAAGGATGAGCCATCAAAGATAATTTGGAAGACTTAGAAAATATATCTGGATCCGCTCCGTCCAGTGGAAAGGGGGCTTAAAGTTTGTATTACCTGTCGCTAATGTTACATATGATAATATACTGCATTCATCACGCTCATCTGTGAGTGGCAGAGCTAGACTATACATTTGTACCTGTGATTATGTAAATCGCTGTGTCATTCAAAAATAAAGACTTAGATTGGTATTTCAAAGAAAAAGACATATTGGTTACTCAGTTTTTTAAATATTGTGATACATTTTTTTGTGTTGCCAAACTGGACCGTTGTTTGAAAGGGATGGGGAAGGTCGGACGGATGGCCTAATTTCTTTGAACGATGTGCGCATCGGTGGTGCAGTGGTAAAATGCTCGTGGGCGGCCTGAGTGCGCTTCCTGGCCGATGCAACATGCAGTTTGATTTTCAGATCTCTTATCTGTATTATTTAGGTTCTCCCACATTTTAAAAATTGTTGTTTACACTATGTTATATAAGTATATTAGCAAACATATAATTTTAATATGTTAAAACTTTTGGCGCACACTACACGCTGAGCGTTGAAAGCGGTTTGTTTGAATGGTAGCAGTAGAAAGGGGGGGATGGTGGGGGAGGGTAGAATTTCAAAGAAAAATCCTTGGTATTTTTCGAAATATCAATGCACTCTTTCTTAGTTCATAAGCAGTATTTGTCAAATAAAATGAAGTCTATGATTTCATACAATAAGTCTTTTATTAAAAATAATATTCCTGACTTGGGAGAGTTTGTTTTGAGGGAGAATTATGACAAAAAATGAGGTACTTCAAATTGGACATCACTTGGCTGAGGTATCGGCCAGTGCATGTTTCACCGGATTTAATTTGTCTACATTTGTGAATGTACAATAAATTTAAAAAAATAACTTGAATCAGACATCTTCTTTGGTTCACTTAGCAATTATTTTTAATTGATTTTAATAGGGCCTAGCATAAATTCAAATCATCTTCAGTTTTGTGCTCTTAAATCAAAAAGAAAAAATATTTATTTTTAAATATATAAACTACTTATGATAACTTTTATCATATTTCCATTGATTATGGAAACTTTTTCGTGTTTTATTTTAAATATTCCAAAATACTAAAGTTTGATTGCCTTCCCGCTGACAACTTCGTTTGCAGCGTCATTTAGATTGTGATCCACCGGCCTCGTTACAGAGATGAATATCACTTCCGCCGAGTTTATAACTCAAGGCAATCTAATTTGCATATAAAAGAAAAATGCAGTATTTTTCCTAATTTTGATTTGTGTACACTCTTCTCATTATCCTTAAAAGGAGGCAATGCCCCTATATGCTAAAAATCTTTGAAAGATTTGATCGACACGCGTTGTTTATTAATCAAATCATTGGAAAAAACTTTCATATCACAGACATGAATCAATTTCCACGCCCAAGTCATAAAATAGTTAAATAGCGCCGATAACTACGTTGGCCCAAAGTAGGTCAATTGCCTGCATAAAAATTCCATACGAATATCGATTTTTTGGGTAAGGACGTTTTTGGGGAAGCACGCAAGAGAAAATTATCAAGATGTCAGCAAAATATTTGGGACCCTTGGAACCACTTAAAAGCAGAGCATATTGAAAACTTTTCTAAAGGTGAAAAACTGTTCAACTTTTCCAGTTTTGCGCCTTTAAACTTTGCAGACATCTTGGCAGGATCTATATTTCACCTGTCCTTCCCCGAAATGTTGCAGACCGCGTTAACTGCTTCGCTGTACAGAAACACTGGATATGAACCAGCAAACGATAGTGTTAAATGAACAGGGGCAGGGTTGAGTGGATGAAGGGGGGGGGGGGGACTTACTATTTTAGGTTACTTTACCTACCAGTCAGCCTCTAACAGTAGGCCTACCTCTTTCAAATTGCCACAGTTACTGGAATTTTTTTCATATCATTAATAAATCTTTTAAAATCCAGAACTTCATATTTAACTGTTAGTTAAGTTATTGATATTCATCTAATAATAAATGGATAAAATAGTACCCTCCGGTTAACTGCTTGGTGTTTTAATTGCAATTTTTCTTAATTTTGAGTTGTGTACACTCTTCTCATTATCCTTAAAAGGAGGCAATGCCCCTATTTGCTAAAAAATCTTTGAAAGATTTGATCGACACGCGTTGTTTATTAATTAAATCATTGGAAAAAACTTTCATATCACAGACATGAATCACTTTCCACGCCCAAGTCATAAAATAGTTAAATAGCGCCGATAACTACGTTGGCCCAAAGTAGGTCAATTGCCTGTATAAAAATCCCATACGGCAAGGGGTAGATACATGTATATAAATCTTTCAAATTGCCACAGTTACTGGAATTTTTTTCATATCATTAATAAATCTTTTAAAATCCAGAACTTCATATTTAACTGTTAGTTAAGTTATTGATATTCATCTAATATTAAATGGATAAAATAGTACCCTCCGGTTAACTGCTTGGTGTTTTAATTGCATCAGCAATTAGTAGGGACCAAGATCTACGCCGGTCAATTGATGATTGGTAATTTGGAAGACTGTCAACTGTTGATAGGCCTATGATCTAAACCACACGAGGCGACCTTACTTATAGTCTCATGACATCTATTGTTACAGAAGTTTGTAAGATAGTCACGGAAGACCGTTGCAGATACCCTTCCAACCACCACTGAAGCAGTATAAATGGCCCTTTTTTCAGAAAAATCTTTAATTGACTAACTAGTTGACTTATGAAAGCCTACTTATGAAAACCTACCAAAGCACAGCCAAACAAGAAACCCAATCGGGAATTTCAACGCGTTTTCAAATTGAAGCCGTAGGCTCTATCTCACCTGTTAGCAAGTTTACAAGTCGGTATAGAATATATCATCATTTTTGACAGTACCGATACACTTTCAACCTTAGATCTAGAACTGAAAGCATGAAAAAACGCTCATTCCACATTTAGGGCGCATGCATATTTCACGTGATAATTATGTCCTTAAAAGGCAAAACATTGTGACGTCATTGGCACGTGCCGACGTTACCAGGCAGCACAAAGTTATTGGAGATATGTTGCGAGCAAGCGAAGTGCATACGACGATTTACGTCTGAGTAAAATAGACGATATAAGCCATGATAGTTGCGTCACATATGGCCTTTTTAGGCATGAAATACAGTTACATGTATATTTTTCACAGAGAAATATTCAGACTCGAAAACGAGGTGAGATTTTGTTTTTTAGCAACACAAAAATCACAAAGTCAAAAAGTCAGCTGCTGGTTTCAATGTTTCAATGTACAACACCCCCAGTACTTTGTTTCTTATTAATCAAAATAAGATTCTGTGTGACGTCTTTAAAGTTTTGTTTCAGAAGTAATCGGGTCATTTTATTTAAGCTTCTATTAAACTGCTTTTGACAATTTCACTCGTCAAGAAGATTCAATTCAAAACGCAAGTCCTGAAAAATAGGAACGAGCATTCGATAACTTCATATCGAGTATATGCTCAGGTCAAAATGAGGATTCAATTTCCCTTTATTCATTGTTTAAGGTTCGGGCTCTTTTTTGGAAGGAAGACACGATGCTTCCGATTTTGGGAGGTGGCGGGTTCGGTGCAGTGTACAAGGTATTGAACTTATCATGATGAACAAACATAAGTGATCTGGAATAGCGGGAGTAGCAATAGTAATTACGATTGTAAATTTTTAAAGCAGTAGCAAAAAAAAATAAATAAATAAAAATAAATAAATAAATAAATAAATAAATAAATAAATAAAAATAAAGTGATTAATCATGTAGTAATGTTACCACTTTATCTTCACTGTTGTTATTTACAGATGTGACATTACACTAACTGTTCGATATATTTTATATTTAGTTTAAAGACAACCTAGCATTAAAGGTGCCAACTTCTGAGGCCTATGCAAGGTTCATCTACAAAGAAGTTTCTTTTATGAAGAGGATAGACAGCAAATTTATCTTAAGGTGTTTACGAAATACGCCAAGTTATAATATCTTCACCTCGTTTAATGTTTGATGCATACATGGTGTTCAATTATCAACATCTTTCACAATATCATTTTGCTAAATTTAATGAGTATTAAAACATACTGGACGGATAAATACGTCATTAACTGTAACTGTAAAATCTCAATTATTCATCATACAATGAGAAATTACTCTGTACAGATTCAAAATATTTCGTCAACCCGATATATATTTGTGTAGTTTATCTCAGTCTGATATGAGAAATTCCCGTTCCAGACTCGTCCACTCCTTTGAAATTCGACCTGGCTTGCCTGTTCTACTATCAGAACTATGCCCGATGGACTTGGACATTCTGCAAGAGTATTGGGAGACATTTTTGTAAGTAATTATATTACTTTCTTTTCTTTAAATAATCCTTTCATTTTTTTCGGATTCTATCATGTTCTATCCAGATATGTCTATGTTATAAGAAATACGTTATTTCACAAAATATTTTTTCCTTAAACGTTGACAAGAATATCATACTGACAGTTGCTTAAATCTATTTGCTAGGGACGAAGTTCCTCTTCAGATGGTGAAGTATATAGCCACGTGCGTCTGTATGGCTATTGGGCACTTGCACCAACGGCACGTAGCCCATTTTGATCTAAAAACGAACAACGTCTTGATTAGTCTCCACGGGATCCCTAAACTGGTAAGATATTCGCTTTGTTGTGGTTCAGTTTGATTATCTTAGTAAATAAATTCGAATTAATTTTTTCTTTTCGCTATAACGTTCCTCGGTGGGGCCTGATATTGGATACCGTCTCGCTGTTAGCTAAGGCTCCATTTTATGTACCTAAAAATTACTGTTCATGCGATACCGCTGTGTAAAAATCCGAATGATAACATGTAATGACTGGTAAAATATGGTTTTATATTAGATTGATAAAAGAAGACTTTGGATGTAATGAATACTTTCATTTTGGTAACCAGAAGATTCCCTTTTTTATTTAATTTTTAAATGCGGAGTTCTTTCTTCCAGTGTGATCTAGGGTCCGTTCACCCTCTAAATGAGGCTGGGGAAAGTATCAATGGGGTGGAGTTGATGAACTTCACCCTCTATAAGAACATGACTCCTGAGGTTCTGGGGGGTGACGCCGCCTCGTGGAGGGTCGATTACTACGCCTTGGGTGTCTTGCTTTTTGAATTGATGGAGGGAAGGTAAGAAAAAAGATACAGTTATGTGAATGATGACTGGACTGATATTCATACCAACAGCTTTGATGGAAAATATTAGGCCAAAAAAACACCCTCCCTTCTTTAGAGCTGCTAGTAATATGAACAGGAAAATTAGACTGTATATATATAGGCATTCAGTAATTTTTATGTACAGACACAGCTGTGTCTGTACATATAGCCATCACCTGCGTCTGTCGTTGCCGTCGTCGTCGCCGTGCACTTTCACCGATAACACGATAAGTGAAAAATTGTTTTACCTTTTGGCTTGAAACTTACAGAACTGATGAATATTCATAATACGCAGGTCAAGTTCGAAAATCAGCATGATCGGGCCATTTTTATGGAAGTTATGCTATTTTTTCATTTTTTCAGCATATGTGCAACACCGATAACACGATAAGTGGAAACCGTTTTACCTTCTAGCTTGAAACTTACAGAACTGATGAATATTTATAATATGCAGGTCAAGTTCGAAAATCAGCATGATCGAGCCATTTTTATGGTAGTTACGATAAGTGAAAAACCGTTTTGGCTTGAAACTTAGGTAACTGAAGAATATTCATAATATGCAGGTCAAGTTCGAAAATCAGCATGATCGGGCCATTTTTATCAAAGTTATGCTGTTTTTTCACTTTTTTCAGCATATATGCAACACTGATAACACATTTCAAGAAAAATCGATTGGCCAATTGTCTTGAAATTCACAGGAGATATCAGTATTACTGAAATACAGATTAAGTCCGAAAATAAGCTTGATCGGTTATGTTTTGGTGAAGTTATGCCTTTTTTTGTAAATTAGTGTTTTTTCTTAGGCATGTTAACAGTCTCATTTTTTAACTAATTAGATATGTAAAGGTGTTCTTTTGACATTTTCTGCATCTTAACAATATTGTTAGTTTATCATATAAAAATGATGGTAAACCTGTTATTGTGTAATAAAGTGTCAAAAATGGAAATAAACTCATACCTTTATAGTTTGTCAGATTCAATCATTCACTATGTTCAGAATCTCAGAATGGAGCAAATTGGACATTTAAAATTGTTCTATTGATATTTTTTCCTATGTCAACAATTTACTTAGTTGATCATTTAAAAATAACAGGAAATCGATAATTTTGTGTTATGTAAAAAAGGTGTTGAAAATGGAAATAAATCCATTTCAGTATAGTTCTCTTGTTTACAATTTGGCATTTTCAAGGTTTGACTCTGAACTTCCATGGACTTGAAGACTTTTGCTAGTCACATTTTCTGAATATCTGTGATACAGTAATTTTGTTATTAAGAATTGATGGTCATTATGCTGTTATGCATTATGTAATATTGCATCAAATTTGAAGAAACCCCAATTTGGGCACTGCCTTCATAGTGACCATTAAAGAAAAATCATGTCATTTACTTTTCTTGACATACAGATCAAATAAGAAAACCAGCTCTCTTGGATTATCATTTTTATTGGATTAATGCAATTTTTTGTGAAATTTTCATTTTTCTCGATCTGGCATTTTGTAAGTGTGTACTTTAACTCTCATGGCCCTGAAACCTTATCCTTTTACTTTCATTGGTATTAGCTGTTGTGAATAATTAAAATTTGAAGTTGACTTTGCAGTTCAGTATAATGTATTATTGCATCAGAATTGACAGTATTCTGTTTTGTGAATTATTATTTTCTTCTTTTTGTCTGCACATTTGACAGCTTTGCTGCCTTGTTTCCAATAGTAATAGTAGGACGTGTTGGAAAACAAGAGTAATTTTAGTCAATTTATTTAGACACCCACTTTGGACTGAACTGCCAACTAGAGCAGAAGCCATAAGAAAAATCCTCCAAGGCACCATCATCTACACAGATACAGAGCACGTCTTCAGGGATCTGATTGACAGATTAGTCTGGTAGGCAACACTACAGTATGAACAACTACATGAATATGTGCGGTATTAAAATAATTTAATGAATTGTCTTCAATATCTGTCACTAGACTTCTAAGCATAGGCCTGTCTAAAGATACAAAAGTACATAATGCACTTTTTAAATAAGCCGTGTTAACTTCGAAGAAATCGTCTTCAGTTTCCATTGTCCCCAGTTGGTCTCATATTGAACTGTCAACACAGATTGAACTATTTCTCTCTATTTCAGCAACGTGGACCAAAGAATTGACAGCATGACTGGCTTTTTAAGTCATCGGTACGAATTTCGTCAATGTTTTTTTTTCTTCCTGCAAGGCTCCTTATAGCTAAATATTTTATTCAACATTTTTAGCCATATCTTTAACATTTTCATTTTTTATTATATCTTTTTTGGAATTAATATATCTTTCTTCTATTCATATGTCTATTTATCTATTATAATTTTCTATTTATCTATTATAATTTTATATTTATTTATTTACTCAAATGCAGTTGGCTCTGTGACTATTACGTGAATAATTTCCCAACCGATGTGGTCACCTCTCCCATTTTAGACATTGCTCAGGTAACGCCTGGATTCATTACATTACACTGACCACTTCTAATAGAGTAAATACTCGCTGGTTCCTTAGAGTGAACCTTCACAGACTTCAAGCAATTTGTGTATGTATATAAGTTAAAATAACCAAATGTCAAAGACTTTATACCTTAAATGTATGTGATGGGAAAAGATGGAATTCGTTTTCTATATTCACCCACTAAAACATCCCATGGTTGTGATATTGAGGAAACTGTAGTTGACTGACTAATTATATGCAGCGTTTTTTCGTCATGACAGGAGGTGTTGGCGGAAGAACAGCTGGAGATGGGTCCCCTGACTGCAAACAGCAGCGTCCGCAATATTGTTGACAATGGCTAGAGGGCTGCTGTAAACCACCGACTGCTTCAATACTTCACTCAAGTTTCACGATTCATTTTGAAGTAGCCCACTCTACAGCTGACCCCATGAAACAAACTATTCATTTCATTACAAATATAGATAACTTATAAATGCAGTCTACAAAAACTCCGGACGATTAATTAAATATCTGCTACAAACAAATTAAATATCTGCTACAAACATCTATTTTAACAAATTTTGCAAAAAAAAAAAAAAAAAAAAAAAAAAAAAAAGTGAATTATTCTAATTCAAGTTTTCCTTATTTCCACAAGATATGCAACTCACACTTTCACCAAGATAAAAATTGAAGCTAATTTCTTTATCATAAGCATATAATTTGGTTATCAAAAACCACATTTCTTTTGTATGTGTACAGAATAAGTAACCATTTTTAAAAAAATCACATAATCATGTACATACAATTCTGATAATTATTATATTGTAAATTGTTTTGATAATTTGGTAACAGAAGATGAATAAAATTTTGAAGCCTATCTTTTAAAGGCCTATCTTACTCAATGGGGACAATTTTCAGAGGGTACTGGTAGCGTAGGTTGGGGGGGGGGGGGGNATGTTCGATATATTTTATATTTAGTTTAAAGACAACCTAGCATTAAAGGTGCCAACTTCTGAGGCCTATGCAAGGTTCATCTACAAAGAAGTTTCTTTTATGAAGAGGATAGACAGCAAATTTATCTTAAGGTGTTTACGAAATACGCCAAGTTATAATATCTTCACCTCGTTTAATGTTTGATGCATACATGATGTTCAATTATCAACATCTTTCACAATATCATTTTGCTAAATTTAATGAGTATTTAAACATACTGGACGGATAAATACGTCATTAACTTTAACTGTAAAATCTCAATTATTCATCACACAATGAGAAATCACTCTGTCCAGATTCAAAATATTTCGTCAACCAGATATATATATATTTGTGTAGTTTATCTCAGTCTGATATGAGAAATTCCCATTCCAGACTCGTTCACTCCTTTGAAATTCGACCTGGCTTGCCTGTTCTACTGTCAGAACTATGCCCGATGGATCTGGACATTCTGCAAGAGTATTGGGAGACATTTTTGTAAGTAATTATATTACTTTCTTTTCTTTAAATAATCCTTTCATTTTTTCGGATTTTATCTTGTTCTATCCAAAATGTCTATGTTATAAGAAATACGTTATTCCACAAAATATTTTTTCCTTAAACGTTGACAGGAATATCATACTGACAGTTGCTATTTTTTTTATTATTATATATATATGTATTTTTTTATTACATATATATATATATATATATATATATATATATATATATATTTTTTTTTTATTATATATAATTTATTTCTTAGGAACAAAGTTCCTCTTCAGATGGTGAAGTATATAGCCACATGTGTCTGTATGGCTATTGGGCACTTGCACCAACGGCACGTAGCCCATTTTGATCTAAAAACGAACAACGTCTTGATTAGTCTCCACGGGATTCCTAAACTGGTACGATGTTCGCTTTGTTGTGGCTCAGTTTGGTTATCTGAGTAAATAAATTCGAATAAATTTTTTCTTTTCGCTATAACGTTCCTCGGTGGGGCCTGATAATGGATACCGTCTCGCTGGTCGCTAAGGCTCCATTTTATGTACCTAAAAATTACTGTTCATGCGACACCGCTGTGTAAAAATCCGAATGATAACATGTAATGACTGGTAAAATATGGTTTTGTATTAGATTGATAAAAGAAGACTTTGGATGTAATGAATACTTTCATTTTGGTAACCAGAAGATTCCCTTTTTTATTTAATTTTTAAATGCGGAGTTCTTTCTTCCAGTGTGATCTAGGGTCCGTTCACCCTCTAAATGAGGCTGGGGAAAGTATCAATGGGGTGGAGTTGATGAACTTCACCCTCTATAAGAACATGACTCCTGAGGTTCTGGGGGGTGACGCCGCCTCGTGGAGGGTCGATTACTACGCCTTGGGTGTCTTGCTTTTTGAATTGATGGAGGGAAGGTAAGAAAAAAGATACAGTTATGTGAATGATGACTGGACTGATATTCATACCAACAGCTTTGATGGAAAATATTAGTCGTCGTCGTCGCCGTGCACTTTCACCGATAACACGATAAGTGAAAAATTGTTTTACCTTTTGGCTTGAAACTTACAGAACTGATGAATATTCATAATACGCAGGTCAAGTTCGAAAATCAGCATGATCGGGCCATTTTTATGGAAGTTATGCTATTTTTTCATTTTTTCAGCATATGTGCAACACCGATAACACGATAAGTGGAAACCGTTTTACCTTCTGGCTTGAAACTTACAGAACTGATGAATATTCATAATACGCAGGTCAAGTTCGAAAATCAGCATGATCGAGCCATTTTTATGGTAGTTACGATAAGTGAAAAACCAGGCCAATTTCAAAAGGGGGGTTCGTTTTCTGAAAAAGTGGACCTTTTTCCATAAAAACATCACGTACCTAGATCAAATTTTACCCAGAGTGGACCTTTTCCCAGGAAAAGGGGCGGTTCTTTCGAACCCCCCGAACCCCCCCTGGCTACGGGCCTGAAAACCGTTTTGGCTTGAAACTTAGGTAACTGAAGAATATTCATAATATGCAGGTCAAGTTCGAAAATCAGCATGATCGGGCCATTTTTATCAAAGTTGTGCTGTTTTTTCACTTTTTTCAGCATATATGCAACACTGATAACACATTTCAAGAAAAATCGATTGGCCAATTGTCTTGAAATTCACAGGAGTTATCAGTATTACTGAAATACAGATTAAGTCCGAAAATAAGCTTGATCGGTTAAGTTTTGGTGAAGTTATGCCTTTTTTTGTAAATTAGTGTTTTTTCTTAGGCATGTTAACAGTCTCATTTTATAACTAATTAGAAATGTAAAGGTGTTCTTTTGACATTTTCTGCATCTTAACAATATTGTTAGTTTATCATATAAAAATGATGGTAAACCTGTTATTGTGTAATAAAGTGTCAAAAATGGAAATAAACTCATACCTTTATAGTTTGTCAGATTCAATCATTCACTATGTTCAGAATCTCAGAATGGAGCAAATTGGACATTTAAAATTGTTCTATTGATATTTTTTTTCCTATGTCAACAATTTACTTAGTTGATCATTTAAAAATAACAGGAAATCGATAATTTTGTGTTATGTAAAAAAGGTGTTGAAAATGGAAATAAATCCATTTCAGTATAATTCTCTTGTTTACAATTTGGCATTTTCAAGGTTTGACTCTGAACTTCCATGGACTTGAAGACTTTTGCTAGTCACATTTTCTGAATATCTGTGATACATTTATTTTGTTATTAAAAATTGATGGTCATTATACTGTTAAGCATTATGTAATATTGCATCAAAATTGAAGTAAACCCTGTTTTGTGCACTGCTGCCATAGTGACCATTAAAGCAAAACCATGCCACTTACACTTCTCACACTTACAGAAAAGAAACATGGAACTTGATTAATTTTTCTGGAAGTTATACATTTTTTCGCGAAAATTTAAGGTGTAACTTTAACTTCCATGGGCTATGAAAACCAATTTGGCATTTTCAAGGTTTGACTCTGAACTTCCATGGACTTGAAGACTTTTGCTAGTCACATTTTCTGAATACTCATGATACTTTTACTTTATTATTAAGAATTGGTGGTCATTATGCTGTTATGCATTATGTAATATTGCATCAAATTTGAAGAAACCCCAATTTGGACACTGCCTTCATAGTGACCATTAAATAAAAATCATGTCATTTACTCTTCTTGACATACAGATCAAATAAGAAAACCAGCTCTCTTGGATTATCATTTTTATTGGATTAATGCAATTTTTTGTGAAATTTTCATTTTTCTTGATCTAGCATTTTGTACGTGTGTACTTTAACTCTCATGGCTCTGAAACCTTATCCTTTTACTTTCATTGGTATTACCTGTTGTGAATAATTTAAATTTGAAGTTGACTTTGCAGTTAAGTATAATGTATTATTGCATCAGAATTGACAGTATTCTGTTTTGTGAATTATTATTTTCTTCTTTTTGTCTGTACATTTGACAGCTTTGCTGCCTTGTTTCCAATAGTAATAGTAGGACGTGTTGGAATACAAGAGTAATTTTAGTCAATTTATTTAGACACCCACTTTGGACTGAACTGCCAACTAGAGCAGAAGCCATAAGAAAAATCCTCCAAGGCACCATCATCTACACAGATACAGAGCACGTCTTCAGGGATCTGATTGACAGATTAGTCTGGTAGGCAACACCACAGTATGAACAACTACATGAATATGTGCGGTATTAAAATAATTTAATGAATTGTCTTCAACATCTGTCACTAGACTTCTAAGCATAGACCTGTCTAAAGACACAAAAGTACATAATGCACTTTTTAAATAAGCCGTGTTAACTTCGAAGAAATCGTCTTCAGTTTCCATTGTCCCCAGCTGGTCTCATATTGAACTGTCAACACAGATTGAACTATTTCTCTCTATTTCATTTCAGCAACGTGGACCAAAGAATTGACAGCATGACTGGCTTTTTAAGTCATCGGTACGAATTACATCAATGTTTTTTTCTTCCTGCAAGGCTCCTTATAGTTAAATGTTTTATTTAACATTTTTAGCCATATTTTAAAATTTTCAATTATTTTATTATATCTTTTTTTGGAATTGATATATCTTTCTTCTATTCATTTGTCTATTTATCTATTGTAATTTATTTATTTATTTATTTATTTTAATGCAGTTGGCTCTGTGACTACTACGTGAATAACTTTCCAAACGATGTGGTCACCTCTCCCATTTTAGACATTGCTCAGGTAACGCCTGGATTTATTACACTGACCACTTCTAATAATGTGCACACTCGCTGGTTCCTTAGAGTAAATCTTCGCAGACTTCTAGCAATTTGTATATGTACATAAGTCAAAATAACCTAATGTCAAAGACTCTATAGCCTACATGTATGTG